GACTTCAACTCCCAGAATTCCTGAGCAAACATGACTGGAGGAGGAATTCTGGGAGTTGAAGTCCACCAATCTTAAAAGCTGTCAAGTTTGAAGACCCCTGTACTTCAAAAGCAAACAAGAAGAACCAGAAGGCACCGTATTCTTGTTCCTAAGTCACTTCCTAAGGAATGATGAGAAACCCACTTCTTCCTCATCTATCAATGGGCAGGCTTAAAACTTGTGCACTCGGTCAACAGCTGTCTTAACAACATTGACGTCAACCCACAGTGGGAAGCCAAATTGGGCTGTTGAACACCCAGATGCAGGCAGTTGCGTAGATGACCCTACACAAAAGGTTTTGAGTTTCCCCACCAGCGTTGGTCAACTCTGAACAAGGTCTGTACCCAACATGGTTTTCTGCCAGGCCTTCTTGTTTAAGTGGGGGGTCTTGTTTCTAGCCCTCGCTGTGACTGGGGTGCTTCTCGACAAAATAGCAATAGCACTAGTAGCAGTAGCACGTAGACTTATATACAACTTTATAGTGCTTTGCAGCCCTCTCGAAGCGGTTTACAGAGTCAGCCATCTTGCCCCTGAACAATCTGGGTCCTCATTTGACCCACCTTGGAAGGCTGGGAGGCTGAGTCAACCTGGAGCTGGTCAGGATCGAACTCCTGGCAGTGGGCAGAATTGGCCCTGCAATACGGCATTCTAACCACTAGGAAGGAAGGAAGGAAGGAAGGAAGGAAGGAAGGAAGGAAGGAAGGAAGTCAGGCTGAGTCAACCTTGATCTGGTCAGGATTGAACTGCTAGCAGTGGGCAGAGTTGGCCCTGCAATACTGCATTCTAACCACTGTGAAGGAAGGGAAGGAGGGGAGGAGGAAAGAAAGAGCACTAGCAATAGCATTTAGACTTATATACCACTTCGCAATGCTTTTGCAGCTCTCTCTAAGCGGTTTACGGAGTCAGCCATCTGGGTCCTCATTTGACCCACCTCAGAAGGATGGAAGGCTGAGTCAACCTCCAGCCTGTCAGGATTGAACTCCTGGCTGTGCGCAGAGATGGCCTGCAATACTGCATTCTAACCACTGTGAAGGAAGGAAGTCGGTCAATGGCACTTTGAGGCAACTGGTACTTCGGTGGTTTTGGGAGGCATTCTGGCTCCCTTGCAGTTTGCAAATTGGTGGCCCCAGCCTGTAGGCCCAGCCACTCCAACCTCTGGCAGACAGCGGGGGCAAATAGATGGTCTCAAGCAACCCCCCCCCCGCCCCAGCAACACTGGTGTGCTTGGTTCAGTCGGACGCCCGTTATTATTCCTAGGGCTTCCGCAGGAACCCCATTTTCCCTCGTTGTTTTTTTAAGCATTTGTTTCTACATGCATGCACACCCATAATTCCTCCCTCCCTTGCAGTGTCCGTTACGAAGAAGCGGCAGGTACCCAAAATTATTCTCACGCCGCCCTCAACCGAAGATTTGGTGTTCAGTGATGACCAGTGAGTACCACCCACCGTGCCTGGGATGAGGGAGATGCTCAGGAGACTGGCAACGCCGGCACTTGGCAGGACAGGGCGGAGGGATTCCACTTTTCAGGAAATCAAATTATAATTTAAAAGAGAATGTTGACAAGATGATGCATCGGTGGTATTCAACACCAGATAAGTCAGGGGTGTCAAACTCAAGGCCCCGGGGTGTGTGTGGATCTAGCCCGTGGGGTTCTTAGATCTGGCCCGTGAGGCCGGCCTGGAAATAACAAACAACCACCTCATGGTGCCTCTGCCAGCGAAAACGAAGCTCGAGAGGGCCATGCACAGCCTGCCCAGCAGAGGTGGTATTCAGCCGGTTCTGACCAGTTCTGCAGAAGTGGTAGCAGAAATATTGAGTAGATCGGACAGCCAGCAAATGCCGCCTCTGATTGGCCCCGCCAACCCCATCTCTTCTCTGCCTCCCGAGTCCCAGCTGATCGGCTGGGTCTTCTTTGGTTGCCCAGCACAGGAGAACGGAGCTGGAAAGCAGGTTAGTGGGGTGGGGATTTTGCAGTAACCTTCCCCTGCCACGCCCACCAAGTCATGCCCACAGAACCGGTAGTAAAAAAAAATTGAATCCCACCACTTACCTGCCCAGGCTCCATTTTCGGCCACGACAGCTTCCTGCAGCCCTCTGCCAACAAAAATGGAGCTCGGGGAGGACACACGCAGCCCTCCTGGGCTCCGTTTTCAGCCGTGATGGCCTCCTACAGCCCTCTGCCAAAAAAATGGAGCTCAGGGAGGCCTCACACAGCCATCTCAACCTCTGCTTTTGGCCACAACAGCCTACTGCCAACAAAAATGGAGCTCAGGGAGCCCTCCCGGGCTCTGTTTTCAGCCACAACAGCCTCCCGTCAACAAAAATGGAGCTCAGGGAGGCCTCACACAACCCTCCTGGTCTCTGTTTTCGGCCACAGTAGCCTCCCGCCAACAAAAATGGAGCTCAGGGAAGCTGCACACAGCACTCCGTTTTCGGCCACGACAGCCTCCTGCTGCCCTCTGCCAACAAAAATGGGGCTTGGCAAGGCCACACACAGCATTCCTGGGCTCCGTTTTCGGCCGCGGCATCCTCCTGCAGCCTTCTGCCAGTGAAAACGGAGTCCGGGCCGACCATGCACTGCCTCCACAAGGTCCGTTTTTGCCGGCAGAGGATTGCAGGAGAGCGTCGCAGCTGAAAACGGAGCCTTGATGAGTGACATTAAGCTAGGCATGCGCTCCCTCCCCCTCTGGCCACCCCCCTTCCAAGGTTAAACACAACCGTGATGCGATCCTCAATTAAATCGAGTTTGACGCCCCTGAGGTAAGTTATCTAAGATGTATAAAGGCATGTCCAACGTACGATGGTAGTGTAAAAGCAAAGGAGGGACTTTTTACAGGGTGCCCCTGTGATAAAGCAAAATTTAAAAAAAATTGGACTATGATTCCTATCTTCATGCAGACAATCCTGAAAATGGAGATGAATATGAAATCAGAACTTTTCCTCATGGGTCTAATGGAAAAAAGAATTGGAGAAAAAGTTTGGCCTTTTTTGTTACTATATATGTTGACAGCAGCAAGATTATTGTGTGCGCAAAAATGGAAGGACGAATGGTTGTAGAAGCAGATGGAGTTGGTTGAAATGGCAAAACTGACTATTTTTGATTAAAGAAAAGAACATAAGTACTTTTGTTTCCACATGGAAATAACTTCTGAACTTGGTGGTTGATGTGGAAAAGAATGAAAATTTGATTTTGGGTTTTCCCGATTAGATTGACGGATCTTTATAGAAATGGCATATTATTCATATTCTTCTTCTTCATATTATTATGAAAAAACAAAAAAGTTGTGATTTGATGTTCATGCCTTATTTTACTGCAACAGAGAGTCGGAAGTCAATGTGTTTTTTCTTTTTCTTTCCCTTCCTCATTTTTCTTCCCCCTTTTCCCTTAACTGTCCTCTTATTTGCTTTTCTTTTTTATAACACTTTGTCTCTCTATATAAAAGTGAAATACCACTCACGCATCATCACGAAATCTCCAGAACCGTAAAGCCTACAAACCTGAAATTTGCCATGTATGTTCCTCTTGGCTTCTAGGGGTTCACTAAGAAAGGATTTTTCAAAATGACCATCAGAACATTAGTATTTCGTATATTACTATTATTAACACGCTCTGATGCTAAGGAGTTCTACTCCCCCTCCCCACCTGAAAAGAAATCTCTTTCAAATGCAAAAGACAAGCAGAGGAGAGGAGTTTCAGTTTCAGTTTTAGTTTCACAGCACCAAGCAGCTTTAG